GTGGGGTGACGCCACCTCAGAGGGTGACGGGTGAGGTGGGATCGGGGAATCCAGGAGGGTTTGGGGTTGGGATCCATCAGGACCTTGTGGATTCTTCTGGGATGGTCCAGAAGGTTCCATCGGGTCCCCTGGGTTATTCTGGGATGGTCCAGAAGGTTCCACCAGGTCCTCAGAATTCTGGGAATGATCCAGAAGGTTCCACCAGGTTCCCAAAGTTCTGGGATTGGTCCAGAAGGTTCCACCAGGTTCTCAGAATTCTGGGAATGATCCAGAAGGTTCCTCCAGGTCCCCAAAGCTTTTAGAATGATCCAGAAGGTTCCTCAAGGTCCCCACGGTTATTCTGGAATGGTCCAGAGGGTTCCACCAGGTCCCCAGGGTTTTTCTGGGATGGTCCAGAAGGTTCCACCAGCTCCTCAAAGTTCTGGGATTGGTCCAGAAGGTTCCATCAGGTCCCCTGGGCTTCTTCTGGGAGTGATCCAGAAGGTTCCAGAAGGTTCCACCAGGTCCCCAGGATTATTCTGGGATGATCCAGAAGATTCCACCAGGTCCCCCATGGCTGTTAGAATGGTCCAGAAGGTTCCATCACTACCCCAGAATTCTGGGAACGGTCCAGAAGGTTCCACCAGGTCTCCAAAGTTCTGAGAATGATCCAGAAGGTTCCACCAGGTTGCCAGGATTGTTCTGGCATGGTCCAGAAGGTTCTACCAGGTCTCCCATGGCTTTTTTGGGAATGGTCCAGAAGGTTCCGTCAGGTCCCCATGGTTATTCTGGGATGGCCCAGAACCTTCTACCAGGTTTCCCATGGCTTTTTTGGGGAGCGGTCCAGAAGGTTCCACCAGGTCATCCATGGCTGTTAGAATGATCCAGAAGGTTCTATCACTACCCCAGAATTCTGGGAACGGTCCAGAACATTCCACCAGGTTCCCAGGATTATTCTGGGATGATCCCCCTGTGCTTCCTGTGGGATGGTCCAGAAGGTTCCATCCAGTCCCCTGGGCTTCTTCTGGGATGGTCTGGAAGGTTCCATCAGGTTTGCTGGGTTATTCTGGGATGATCCAGAAAGTTCCACCAGCTTCTCAAAGTTCTGGAAATTACCTAGGAGGGTTCCCAGGTGTCCTTCATCTCCTTGGGGATATCGCGGTGCCATCACAGTGCCATCGGGGTGACATTGGGGGTGCCATCGTGGTGACATCAGAGTGACATCGTGGTGCCATCCTGGTGCCATCGTGGTGACATTGTGGTACCATTGGGATGACATCACGGTGCCATCGCGGTGCCATCGTGGTGCCATCGCAGTGACATCGCGGTGCCATCGGGGTGACATTGGGGTGACATTGGGGTGCCATCGTGGCGTCATCGTGGTGACATCACGGTGCCATCATGGTCCCATCGTGGTGCCATCACGGTGCCATCACAGTGCCATCACGGTGCCATTGCGTTGCCATCCCTGGTGCCATCGGGGTGCCATCGTGGTGCCATTGCGGTGACATCACGGTGACATCAATGTGCCATCATGGTGACATCACGGTGACATCAATGTGCCATCATGGTGACATTGGGGTGCCATCGCGGTGACATCACGGTGCCATCGCGGTGACATTGGGGTGACATCACTGTGCCATCGCGGTGCCATCAGGGTGACATCACGGTGCCATCGCGGTGCCATCGCGGTGACATTGGGGTGACATCATGGTGACATCATGGTCCCATCGTGGTGCCGTTGCGGTGACATCATGGTGACATCATGGTGACATTGCAGTGCCATCATGGTCCCATCACGGTGCCATCATGGTGACATCCGGGTGACATCAGAGTGACCGCAAGGAGACGATCCCAGCTCGGGCGCCACAGAAGGCACAAAGGACCCGGAAAGTTCCGGAGGCGTCAAACTCATTTCCCGCCGGATTGGTCACCCGGGAGAGGCTCCGCCCCCATCCCCCGTCCCAGCCAATCAGTGCCGTTCCCCGAGATCGATCCCCAATTCCATCCTCATTTTGAGTTCCGTGTTATTTTCAGGAATTTCCGTGTCTTTGTGTCACCGATGTCGATTTGTTGGGTTTGATTTGCATTTTCGATTCCATCTCGTTTGGTTGAATTTG